GATTTTCAGAATTGAGAAACTTCCACAGACATAGAAAGCTAACATTATTAGTCAACAAGGAAATCATCTATGCTACATATTGATTTATATTAAAATTTCCAACCTTATTTAAAATTTTGAAAATGGGGATGTCAAAATATCCATACACTAGATGGACAGGTTGTTTTATGTTTACTTGTTTTGTTGATGGCAGGTTTCTTTTCATTTTTTCCTTTTTGTTTGTATTTTTCATTACAAATGATTTGTAAACCTATTGAGGCCACATAATTTGGAATCAGACAAAGACAGAGTAAATAGTATTCTAAAGTTTCATTATTACTTCTGGACCTAACATTTTAATTGGTAATTAGAGATGGAAACAAAAGTTTCTTGTTTTTCCGTAACATATATGGAAACAAGTTAAATATTTAAACACACCAGCATAAGACAAATATTCAAAGCAAATCAATTATTTAAGCCTCATCTTTCATTCTCAAACTTCTACGGATGAATAAAGAGATGAGGAAAAATATTCCTTTATAGAAGAATGTATGAACATTCCTATCTGTAGTCACATGATACAAGCATACTATTCAGCTGACTGTGCCATTTAAAGACTGGTGAAATACACTGTTAAAATTCTTCAAGTGCAGGATGTATAACACTAAATTGCTACTTCTAGGGTGCTACTGTATACACAAAATATTCACATTTCTGATAACCTGAAGATTATTATACCTGGAGAGGGAGAGAGAGAGAGAGAGAGAGAGAGAGAGAGAGAGAGAGAGGTCTTTTATTTATTCTACTAGATAAATTTTATTCCTAAATATGAGAAATATTCAATAATAATAAAACTCTTAGGCAACACAAATGCATAAGTGTCTTCAATTTAATAAGGAGAAAACAATTATTTTTATTTGGTGTTCATTGGGCTTCATTCATAGCTTTATAGCTGTGAATTTATTACATTTTATTGAAACATTTATATTCATGCAATGCCAGTGAACCATAAAAAAGCTATTAAACTTAAGGCAGCTAGCATATATGAATTTTTATTTGTGGTATGTTTGTGTTACCTGTAAGTATGTGCATTGGTCTCTCTCTCTCTCTCTCTCTCTCTCTCTCTCTCTCTCTCTTGTGTGTGTGTGTGTGTGTGTATTTCAGTGCTGAAGGAGTCCAGAACATGGAGTTAGATCCCTTAAATCTGAAGTTATAGGTGGCGGTGAGTCACCTAATATTTAAAAGTAGTATTACGGTTAAAAGAATGCTACTGTAGGATTAATGCTTGGTTAATGTTAGTGTAGGGCTGCATTTGGTGACAATAAAATTTTTACAATTCAGAGAATAAAACATGAAGTTAATACTGAAGGAGTTGTGAATATTGCATGTGGAAAAATATTGGAGCTGAAGTTATAGGTGGCGGTGAGTCACCTAATATTTAAAAGTAGTATTACGGTTAAAAGAATGCTACTGTAGGATTAATGCTTGGTTAATGTTAGTGTAGGGCTGCATTTGGTGACAATAAAATTTTTACAATTCAGAGAATAAAACATGAAGTTAATACTGAAGGAGTTGTGAATATTGCATGTGGAAAAATATTGGAGATTTTGTTACTGCATGAAAAATTTCTTCTACAAATTTCCAATTACTAAAAAAAACTGATATAAAATAACACACTGTAGAAAGTTATAGCAGTTACATTTTAAAGCATTTTATGTGCATTTTTAAAAACAAAATTGTTTTAGTAGATGTGAACCATATTAGTTAAAACAGACCTTATTTCTATGTCCATTTCTGTTCTGTATTGAACATCACAAAGCTAATGACCTGAAAGTATTTAACAGCATACTTTCAATGATCCACTGCTCATGCTGCTGTCTACAGTAGGGAATGTAAGGATGAAGAGGTATACATATATGATAACAGTGATCAAAATAAATAAAACATGTTGGAGACAGAGCATAACTCTAAGTTGATTTAAATGAACTCTTGTTGCTCTAGATATGAGTAGAATCATAAAACAATGAAAAAAACTAGTACAAAAAATCATTATTTTTCTAAATTGCAAGTGGTTTATTGTGCAAGAAGTAGAAGAATCAGGATGAACGCTGTAGGATATGGGAATTGCTGTGTGAACACCAATTTCATTCTCATTAGATACCAGGTCTCCCTAACAGTTCTGATCAATGCTATTCATCAGCATAGACTCCAGGGTACAAAGTGAAAGCACAACTTTGGGGACATTTGTCTCATGGAAATAATCTGAGCCAGAAATCTAATTACTCTTCTTAGTATAAAACAAAGGAGAATGTCTGAGCCTCAAGAGAATTAAGTCCCAACAGTCCCTAGTTGAAAATAAATGTGATCTAGTAATATTTCAGGTATCAGAGAAAGGACAGAAACACTCCCTCACTTCAGGTATGTTTACCAATGGCTACTTGTAAAAATAGAAAAATAAGTCTTTCTTTAGATACATGAATTACACAGCTGAGGAATGAATAAATAAATGGTTTAATCTTGCATTTGAAGTGACATAAATTCTGCCACCTGATGAGTACGGAATTTTTTTTGCTAGACCTTTGTGATTTTGATTGCTGAAATTTGACTTGCACAGGGTTTTTAAAGATGTTCAATACTTTTTTTAAATTTTAATTAAAAGAAGCATTTCATTACAAAGCATTAACCTATTCAATAACATTTTTCTGATCTAGGGTACATCTCTTTCAAAATTGGCTGTACATTTCTAGTATTTTTAAAGACATATATGTCATCTCATTTTAAAATTCCTCTACCAGTGATGCGGTGCATATGATTTTGAAATTTATGTTGATATCATTCAATACGTATTACTGATACCAATCTAAGTTAATTCAGTCCATATGTAAAATCATAATATTTTGAGAATTATACATTTCAGTGTATATATGGATTTTCATATAAAAAGAAAGCAGAAAAGTTAAAGGATACTGTACACACAAGATTCACATATAAACACAAGAAACAGAGGCAGTATAACTGATTTTTTGTTACTTCTCTTCCTCTTTTTATGTATACGAAACAAAGAAATGATATAGGAACCCTATCTAGGGACACACACTCTGCAGGCTCTTATTCTCTAAAAGTTAGCCAGTTGTGGCCTCTGTGTACATTGCACTCATCCACCTACAGCTCAGGAATCATTGCAGAAGAGGGAGCAAAGGATTTTAAGAGCTAGTGTTGATGAATGAACATAAGGAAACAGAGGCTTTCAGGCCTTTGGGAACTTGCTCACATGAATTTGCAACAATGGTGATGTGATACGGCACCTTCTTGACTATAGCTATGCCATGTTAAAAGTTTAAGCTGACTCTAGTCCTGAAGTAATCAGGCAGTTGGCCTAGGGTATGGGAACACAGATCAACAAGACTCAGTTATTGTGGGAACTAGTCAGCATGTCTTGGAGTGTATCTGCTAACTACAGATATATGACTTCTCTAGGTTATGCTTCACTTGCTTCTGCAAAATAGTTATTGTTACTTAACAGAATAGAAATTGTCAAGGGGCTCTCCACCTGTAAGCTTGGGAACTTAAACTTTCACCCCAGTTATGGTTTCTCTGTATGAAAGCTTACCCTAGAGATGGCTTGGGGTTACACACTTGAATTCCAACACCCTTTTATAGTAGCCCTGGCCAGCAACTATTTTCATTCAGCAAAATTGGTCTGAGTGGTCTTCTCTGGTGAAGCACCCCACAACAGTGACAGTATGCACAAGAACTATTCTGAATCAGTCAGAGAAAAATACAGCATAGAATGGGGGAAATGGGCAGCAGGCTCCAACCTTAGCTGAGGATCATTTAGTAACTTATTACTGTGGGGTGAGGTAGAGCAGATCTGTAAGGATGTGACTCTAGGTATGCTGACTAGAGTCCAGTGGATGAACTTGTACTAGGGGCATCTGGGTACAAATGCTTGACTGGATAGGACTTAACATATATTAGAGAATGCATGAAATCCATTTGCAGGGTCTATGGTGGGCACAGATGGGGGAGGGAGTCTGAATTTTATTAAGATGTGTTATATGAAATGCATAAAACTCGATAAGTATTTAAAAAACCCAGCTTAATATCCACAAATAAGCAAAGCTGTTTGCTGTTATCTGTTGTTCCCAATTATTTTGTTTCTCGGTTGCTTTTCAGGTGATGCAAAACTCAGACCTAGTGAGTAATTAAAAAAAAAATAGAAAAGCCTGGCAGAATAGTGAAAAATGAAAGAACATTACCGATCATATTTCAATTTTTAGTAAATGCTGTAAAACCCAAAATAGTGTCAAGTAATTTTATTTCATTATCTGGAAAATGGAGCTCTTTACTGAGGCATAACAAATAATGTTATCAGTGCTGTTTGTTACTAAAGTAATAAATATGATTCTTTAGTAAAAAGCATGAGATTTTCTTTGTGGCTTGTCAGATAATTTGATACTTTTCTGTTTCCTATTGGATCTGAACCAGCTTTCCTTTCATGGAAATACACTGAATGACAATGAACGGCAGAGACCCAGACAAGTCAGAAAGTTCATGGACTATATCTACAGGTTTAACTCCATGTGTATCAGCCTCCTATATTAGAATGTGTGAAATGAGCACACCACATTAGAAGCACTCTTTATCTTAACTGTTTTCTTAATATAGTTAGTATATGGAATATACTAAATATACAACATATATAATTATAATTAGTATAGTACCCAACAATAACATTGCATTCCACTCCATTGATTATCTCTTTGAATACCTAGAGGAAAACAGTGACTAATCTAACTTAACATTAGTGAATTTTGTATTATTTCAGAACCAAAGCAAAGGAGAATGGACAGGAGAAACTGTTCTTCATTACCAGAATTTTTTCTCCTGGGAATTACCAGTAATCCTGACATGAAAGTGGTGTTATTTGCTGTGTTTCTGATTGTTTATCTCACTATTCTGCTGGCAAATCTGGGAATGATCATTTTGATCAGGATGGAACCCCAGCTCCACACACCCATGTACTTCTTCCTCAGCCACCTCTCCTTCTCTGACCTCTGCTACTCCACTGCAGTTGGACCCAAGATGCTGGTGGGCCTACTTACAGAGAACAATCCAATTTCCTTTGTTGGTTGTTTTCATCAATTCTTGTTTGTTTGTGTCTTTATAGATATTGAGTGCATGTTGCTGGCTGTGATGGCCTTTGATAGGTACAAGGCCATCAGCAATCCCCTGCTGTATGCAGTAGAGATGTCCAGTAGGGTGTGCTACCAATTCATAACTGCAGTGTACCTGGTGGGAACAATAGATGGTTTCATACATACAACATTGGCATTCAACTTGTGTTTCTGTGGCTCTACTCAGATGAATCAATTCTTCTGTGATTTCCCTGCAGTTTTACTCCTTTCCTGTTCTGACACACAGGCCAATGAACTGGTATTGTTCACCCTTTTTGGTTTCATTGAACTGAGCACCATCTCAGGAGTCCTTGTGTCCTATTGTTACATCATCTTGTCAGTCTTGAAGATCAGCTCTGCTGGGGGGAGGTTCAAAGCATTCTCCACCTGTGCCTCCCACCTAACTGCAGTTGCCATTTTCCAAGGAACAATGCTCTTCATGTATTTTCGGCCAAGTTCTGCTTACTCTCTAGATCAAGATAAAATGACTTCCATCTTTTACCTGCTTATTATTCCCATGATGAACCCTCTGATTTACAGCCTGAGGAACAAGGATGTGAAAGGAGCCTTGGTTAAACTCAGAAATAAAAGGTGGATTTAAAAACGTTCTAAGGCTTTAAAAATATTTATAAAGGTCATATTTCTGTAAGAAACTCACAAATAAAAGCATCATACAGTTGGGTTAAGGTAAACACTCAAATCCCTTATGTGAAAATAAATATGCATGATGGTTGTTGGTTTCATACTACATAATGTAATAGCTTTACAAATACTGCATTTTAATTTCCTTAAGTAAATTTTTGTGCTATATTCTAATAATAAGAAACTGTTTCCAAACCTCAAATGTATAATTGACTATTTTCTCAAAGAATGTGTGTTCCTCAATTCATGAAAAGACATTGGGTAATTTTTTTTCAAAGACCTGAAGAATTAATTGTTCAGAAAAAAAAATGACTTCTGAGTTTCTACCAGACTATATTTTGTTATCCTAGCCTTAACCTTCTAAATGGTATGTTATTACCACAAATATGCTTTTTCCTTGTTTTGAGATTCTAATCTCATTAGTAACGACATAAGGATGTAAAGACCTATGGGAGTTCATGAAATTATAACATTACAATTGACAGGCATGGGTTTATTGTCAGTACAAAGGTCTTGGAGAGGTTCGTAACTGTTTATTCTAATTGGAGAATGAAAATTGGGCCATCACCATACACTGATTCTTCTGGATTCCTGATTTTGGATTTCTATCCTTCACAGTTGTAATTTGTGTTTGGAGACAAAACCTATCTACGTTTTTCTGCAATAACTAAAATGAAGACATTCAGAACCAAGTCAATGATCGCAGAAAGCATTGAAGTAGTAAAACATCAGGACCATAAGGGAATGCCAGCAATTCAAAGCATGAGATATTCGTGAAATATAACCACATCCCACTCATGTGCCTATATTTATTATACCATCTTGGCAATAATTGGACCTGCGTATTTGTGCCCATTATTGGTTAAAGTGCGTTTGGACTAAGCAAAAATCTTATGTAATAGTGTCCCAACATAAAACTGATTTGATTGTGAACTCCCTGAGTTTGTTAGTTTTAGAAATGAATTATTTGCAATTATTTTTAGGGAACTCATGACTGAAATGGAAGCTCTGGCTGATGTTCTTGGACTTTTCTTCCTCATGTTTCTTCAGAACCCTGATGCAGAATGTCAAAGGTTTTGATGTATCTTAGAGCACCCTTTCCAGTTCTCATTATTTCCCTCCATTCTTAGTCTCTAAAATTTCCATCTTTTATTTACATCATTAAGTTAAGACTAATGGCAAACTTAATTTTCCAAATATTATTATGTCATAAAATATGGGGCTATGTTAACCTTAGTTATTTTTGTAAATATTGATTTTGCCCTTTTTTCTTGCTGCCGAAGATGCTAAATATAAGAATGAAAAAACTGTATATTTTGATATATATATATATAATGAAGTCCCTGTCACACTTCTTTTATATAAAATAGGATCTGAATAAGAAGTGGTTGTAGTGTTCTTTCCAGGTGCTTGACTTTATCTGTATGAAGTGAAATCCTACTAACACACCATCTCACCACAGTGTGGGCTCAAGTTTTGAAAATGATGAGTCATTCCACTTGAGTTCAAAATATTTATTTTATCCCCAGTCTTTGTTTTAGCAATAAGAATAGATATTAGTGGAGGTAGGGATTCTTCCACTTAGGTTCTGGAGATCAAATCATGTTATTCTTTTTTTTTCTGTGATGTCATTTCTCTGCTTTTGATGTTTTGCTCTGATATAGACGTCAATGAATTTGTGATAGACACCATATTTTGTTACAGGGCAGTGATTACTCTATGAAAAGTTTTGTGTCTTACTGTTATACCGTCCGATGATTAGGTTCCATTTTTACCTGTACTACCAATATCCTATGAGAGTGGGAGTCAGCTGTCAGTTTGAGTGAGTTATGAGACAGCTAAGACAGGTGGAAAATGCCTGTGACTATTTTGGGATGCATATACGGAGAGCATTGACATGTTGGAGAGTGATTAGATGGAGACAAGACCCACCCCGAATGAAAGTTATGTTCCTAGTACACGGGGTGCCTACCTGAGTAGGAGGAAGACAAGGAACCTGGAGGTGCCCCTTTGATTCCTGTGACATCATGGTCTACGACCAGAATCCTCAACAGTGGACCCCAGATCTCATATTTTTGCAGCTTTTTCAAGTGGATTTGCTATCAGAAACTATGTAGCATATTTTCAGGCTTTTTGCAAAGGGATGGGACTACCAAGTTTCCAGGCTTATTGGATAGAACATGCACTATGTCACAAATAAGACAACAATGTAAAAACCACTTGTGATATTAGCATATCTTGTTAATTAGAGGTGAAAGAGATTGTCTCAGAAACGGAAGACTCGGGCCAAGGAATGGAGAATACAAGTATCATTATGTAAACTTCAACTTCAGTCTCATTAAATGTCTTGTCCACTAGAAATCTTGGTTAATGTCTGTCATTCATCAACACAGAGTCAAGGGGAGGGAGTAAAAATGACACTTGAATCTCTTGTACAGTATTCCCTGGGAAAAACACTAAGTTCGGAATTTAATTAATCACAGTAGAGTAGCAGAAAAGAGGGAAGCCAGAGCCTCAATGGAATTAAGTCCCAACAGTACCTAGCTAAAATAAATATGATCAACTTGTTCAGGTACTGCGGGTGAAGAAAAAAGGCTCCCTCATCTCAGGTAGGTTTCTGAATGACCTCTTGCAAAAACAGAAGACACAAGTATCACACTTTTTAGGGCAAAAGAATAAAAATTGGTGAATAAATGGGTTTATTCCTCCTTGTGTAATTAAGTGAACTCTTCCACAAAATGTGATACTTTCTTGATATATTGTTGTGACTTTGACTCCTTCCTTTGTTCTACACAGGGAATGGAAAGGTTTTTATTTCTTTTGCAGTAAGACAGAATAAAAATTGGTGAATAAATGGGTTTATTCCTCCTTGTGTAATTAAGTGAACTCTTCCACAAAATGTGATACTTTCTTGATATATTGTTGTGACTTTGACTCCTTCCTTTGTTCTACACAGGGAATGGAAAGGTTTTTATTTCTTTTGCAGTAAG